CCTCCTATCTTCTGCCCCCACAGTGCTGGGATTGCAGACACACCTGGGCTTTTTACACAGGTGCTGAAGACTTGAAATCAGGTCTTCCTGCTTGTGCAGTCAGTGCTACTACCGATCACACCACCTCTCAGACTAAGACTTACATTTTAGCTCTTCTGTTCTCCACACTTATATATCCGTGCACTTGATTTTGTATTACAGTGTTTCTCAGATGCTTCAGAAGATACCCAAGTTCATCCATATCACCCCCTCTCTGAGACAGGGTCTCAACGTGTAGCCCCAGTTGGCCTGAACTCTCTAGGCAGATCACAATCACCTTGAACTCACAGAGATCCACCTGCCTCTGCCTCCAAAGTGCTGGGATTCCCCCACTCCTGGGGAGAAGGGAATCATACATCTCTTATCATAAACTCTTTCCACTTTCGGGGCTTTGCTATTTGTACCACTGGACCCAGAGCTTCACCTCTTTACCCGGCTCAAGTCAATTCATCTTTAGGTCACACCCTTGGAAGGACCTTCTTTAACCCTTCTAATAAATTAGACTGTATTATAGTACCTTATGTACCTTATTATAGTATCTCTAACTTCTCACATAATTTGATTACTCATATTTATTAAAATACCCATGTTTCCCTCCTCCTATGTATGCTACATAAATATTGCTTGTCATGTGCCTAGCACATGAGAGAAGTTCAATATATTGAGTGAATGAGAGGTGGAGCCTATTTCCCCACTATGGTAAATTAATCAGTTTCTTAGGAATTAAAAGTTGGAGGGAGGGTGCTGGAGAGATGGCTCAACCATTAAGAGTACTGGGTGCTCTTGCAGAAGATCCTGGTTAAAATCCCAGCACCCCCATGGTAGCTAACAACTGTCTTTAACTCCTATTCCAGGGGATCTGACACCTTCTTCTGTCACAGATACACATGCAGGCAAAATACTCAAACACATAAAATAAAAATAATTAAAAAGTATTTTAAAAAGAAATTAAAAGTCAGGTAGGAGTTGGAAAGATGACTCAGAGGTTAAGAACACTGGCTGCTCTTAAAGAGGACCCAGGTTCAGTTCCCAGCACCCACATGGCAGTTAACAGCTGTCTGTCCATAACTTTAGTTCAAAGGGATCTGATGCCCTCTTCTAGCACTATAGGCAAAGCACCGACAGGCACACTTACACATATTCAGGCTTAACACTCATATGCATAAATAAAAATAAATGTAATAAAAGTTAGGTAATACAAAACATACAGCAAGATAAAAACTGGAGAGCAAGGAGAATGTGGCTCATTGTGCAGTCAAGCTCTCTACCCCTGTGCTCCACACTCATTCACCACGAACACATGAATGCTGCATGAAGTTTTCAGATGAAAATTCTGCATTTGATTTGGAATCTAGAATGTGGTCCTCATCTGCTGTGCTGGTTTTAGCAGTTCATCTTGTCTTTCACTCTCGTTTTTCACATTTTAAGAACTAATGATGCAAAGCGTAAGCAGCAAGGGAAGGGCCACATCTACAGCTGATGTGTAAGCTCTATTCCTGGCATTTGCCAGGAGTATAATAAACCTGTTAGGAAAGAATGACTGACCCCTGAGTGTAGTGTGTCTGTGCCTTCAAGGGAGGGCGCAGTGCCTTGGCAGAATCCTCACAATGGTGTGCTCTCTTCTCGGCTATACTGAGATATCTAGCAATTTCTCTGGGCCTATTTCTTCCTCTGGCAAATGAGAGACTTGAAGATCAACCCCATGGTCTACAAAATGTAAGCTCCAAGAGACCATCTTTGTTTTCTTCAAGATTGCAAGGTTAGCACACAGCACATCCTCAAGATATTGTAAAATGATCCCCAAAGTTATATTTTAGGGAACAAACCATTGAGGTCTCCTAAACTAAGAATTCTATTCCTAAAGAAAACCATGTGCAGATCATCAACATTTAATTATATTTATTTTTATTTTTTTGTATGTGTATGGGGTGGGTGTCCGTATGGAGGTCAGAGGACAACTTGAAAGTGTGGAGATCAGAAAACAATGTGCAAGAATTGGCTCTCTCCTACCATGTGGGGCCCAGGGATGGAACTCAGCTTGTCAGGCCTGACAGCAAGTGCCTTTACCTGCCTAGCTGGTTTGCTGGCCTTTATCTACATATTGGAAACATTCCAGGGAAGGATAAAAAGGGAGTTCAAAAATTGGCATGGTGGGCTACATAGTAAGACTGCACGCGCGCGCGCACACACACACACACACACACACACACACACACACACACACACATCTGCGTCCTCCGAAACGCGTGCAACTGAAAATAAATGCCTGTTTCTTCCGGGAGAGTTGGTTACAGACGCCAGTGTCCCATCTTTCTTTCTTTCTTCTGGGTTCTTTAATCTCATTTTATAAGCGTATTTGGCGCTTTATTCGAAACCCTTAACTCCACGAGGAAGAACAGCAAACTGCGGAGGAACTCCGCAGGGCACAACCAGAGCTCCGCCGGCCCGGGGTTCCCTCCGTGCTAACTCGCAGAGGTGGAGTTTGGAGACCTCTTCCTTTTCCCAGCCCTGCCCCCTCGCCCATCCTCCGCTTTCTTCTTTATCCCCGCCAGCGGATAACTGCCTGGGTGCGCGGGAGGGCGAGACCCTGAGCCCGGTCCCGGCGGGCACCACTGCCAAAGCGCCTCCGTCACCTGCTTTCTAGTGAACCGCCAGCTGGAAATGCAAAGGAAATCATGTCTTCTGCGGCAAACTGGGGGCCGCTCTGGAGACCGCCTGTGTGTTTACACTCGCTGGCTTGCCCTCGAGCTGCTGGGGGAACGATTGGGTCCGTGGAGCCCTGACGCTCATCAGCCCGCCCCG